CTTTTTCCAACGAAAACGAAGAAGACGAGGATGGCCTATGGTGCATCTTATCTGAAGGGAACTCGCTTTTTTGACCGCCATGGTATGACTGCCGAGTCATCTCCTCGTTCCGCCCTTCCTATTGGGATAGCTACCTTCGGGCTTTGCCTGCTCTTTATAATAAAAAATTCCGGCTCGACCCGGGAAAGCGCTGGCAACAACAGAAAGGAAGAGGTCCATGTAGCTGTTGTGTCCGGTTGTCCGCCCCCTTCTTAATCAATGGGGCACAACAGGTTCGGCATCTACTACAAAAGAGAGAATCCACTTCAGATAACCACGTCTTGCTAGGCAGCATGTGGAATGGCCGAGAGCTCACGGGTTCAAGTCATGAAAACAACATCTTGCAGAAATGCAGGGTAAGACTGCGTACAATAGATCCTTGTAGTCCGGTCCTTCCCCGTACCCCGCGCATAGCGGGAGCTTAGTGTACCGGGCTGCCCTTTATTAACTTGCAGCTCTGAAAGAGCACCAGTTTAAGAGATACTAACTTCTATGTTTTCGAAAATGTGTGTTTGATTTTGTTAAGCCTTATATCTGAATAGTCATAATACTTATAATACGGAGAATAGTAGATTTATGTGATTGTTGTTTCTCCATTAGCTATTTGAGGCTTTGTCGTTCTCACGATCCTCAAATCCAAGTTTGAGTTCTACATCTTTCAGATCTTTTGGAAGCTTTAACTCACAAAAGTAAAGCTTTAACTCACTAAAGTAAAGTTCCTTATTTGGGGGCTTTTGTGATCACTATTGTTTCTTTTTTCTAAATTTCGGGTAGCGTGACTCAATCTTATATGTTTTCCAATGCAACATCTTCATATTCTTGGGACAGTACGTAACTCCTTGTTCTCAAGTGCTGAAGGGGTTTCTTGATTACTTGGATGTGAGAATTTAAATATTCCCTACCCACAAAATAAGCACAAATATTATCTTTTCCGCTAACACATTGAGTTAAAAAAAAGTTTGTTAAATTATTGAATGAAAAGGAATAAACTAATAAAATTCTAATATATAGAAGAGCCTTTTTTTGCCATTTCATATTTAGTTTTTATAATTTGTAGATCATTTAAAGTGACTCTAAATTTTGATTGGTTCAAATAAGTTGATTACCGTGCTAACTTTATTAATTTTTGTTGTACAGACCTTTTAGCCCTTTAAAGGAATCGTGTATACTTTGGAGTGGGTCCATCTGCCTGACAACTTTTTATATTTAAACTTGCTCATTTCTATTTATGCTTGTGAGGAGACAAATGTTTGGTTTTTAACTTATTCAACCCATTATTTATTAGAGGAAAATTTAAAATGTTTGAAGTCATTATTAGCCTTCATTGGTATTCCGCTTATATTTCTCTGTATAAAATGGTGCATCAGACAAATAAACCGTACATTTTTAAACTGTATATATTCATGACTACTTCTAAACTCTAAAGCTCATAGCTGCCACTATCAAATTGTTTAAAAATTCTCAAGAACTAATTTTGTATATCATAAGCTAATAATAGATATTATGGTAATTTAGTTTTATAAATTTTCTCCAAATTAATTTGGTAGATCACATACTAAAACTATTTTACGTGGTGATTGATTTTTTACTTAAAATTATAATGCACAAAAAGTTATACTAGATGTTAATTTATTTCAACGGAGACTTTCTTTTTACAATAAATCAAATTATTTTACAGGAAAAGATTTATCAAATCATCTTGTAATACCTTTTACTACGGTTAACTTTGGTAATTTTAGTTTTAAAAGCTCTTTTTTTTTTTACAATAAATCAAATTATTTTACAGGAAAAGATTTATCAAATCATCTTGTAATACCTTTTACTACGGTTAACTTTGGTAATTTTAGTTTTAAAAGCTCTTTTTTTTTTTACAATAAATCAAATTATTTTACAGGAAAAGATTTATCGAATCATCTTGTAATACCTTTTACTACGGTTAACTTTGGTAATTTTAGTTTTAAAAGCTCTTGATATGGAGACTGTATTCAAATAATATTTGGTTAGTACAATACGTGCACAATGTTTTATGAAATAGTTTGGTAAATTCAAGTTGAAGAGAAATATTTTGCAAAAGATATATTTTATTTTTGGATCATATTTTAGTTTAATTGTCTACTATAAAGTTAAATTTCATTTGAAGGTCTTTTTATCTATTCAAAATTTTCTCAAAAGGTTTCCAAATAAATCTGTAAGTGAGCTCTGAGGAATACATAAAGTTTTTAAAGTTTTGTTTACTTCGTAATTAATAACCTGTATTAACTAAGAGTGTACTTCCTAAACAATCCAAATGAAAATGAGATGAATGGAGCACACAAAAAGGTATTAAAGGTTCATAGTTTGTAACTTTGCTCAAGTGAGCAAGATAAAGCTAACTGGAAAAAATAACTTTTTAAAATACATAGAAATGAGAGTGAATCTTCCAAATATCTAAGGTTGAAACTTTTATAACATCTATGAAGCAACAAACTGAAATAACAAAATTTATTAAAACATCATAATTAAATTAGGTATCTAAAAGAAAGAGAGTTAGAACCAAGAATGAGTACACAAAATTCACATTATTAATTCAAGCATTTTACTTCTTTTGAGAATTTTTTTTAAAAAAAAATTAGAATTGGTTGCCATTGATAGACATGTTTATTTCCTCCCTTTCATGTATCTTATCTTTCTTTATCTTATCTTAATGTTCTAAAAAGTTGACAATAGAAATACATATATGTTCCTATGATTATTTTTATTCCTCTGGGAGTAAAAAGCTAAAACAATTAGTTAGGTTAATTGAATTTAAAATACAACAGTAAATTATAACAAAGAACAAATTAACAAGTGGAAAACAAACTTAGTCAAAGTTTGGATTGTTGGGCCCGTGCTTAGTAATCTATTAAGTATTAGAGGCGATAAGAGGTGGAAAAGATATTTCCAAGCTTGCAAACAGAAAGCCAAACAGTGCAGCTAAACACATTCATAATATTTCTTGATTTAATTCAGGTTCAAGCATTCAAACCATAATTACTATAAAAAGGTAAAATAGGTTCAAAACCACTCAAATATGAAATTTACAACATGAGGGAATTCAACACTCAAAAGTACAAACAGTACATGACACCAAGTAGTACGGACGACTATATTAAAGAAATAAACAACAACAACAACAACAACAATAACAAACACAGTATATTCACACAAGTGGGATCTCGAGAGGGTAGTGTAACCTTACCTAGTAAATATAGAGAAGATGTTTCCAATAGACCCTCTACTCAGAAATATTAAAGAAATCAGGTAAACAAAAAGCAACATATTAACTTGCAGCTCAGAAAGCACACCACCTTAAGAGATGCTAACTTCTATGTTGCCAAAAATGTGTTCTTGATTTTGTGAAGCCTCTTGACTACATCTTTCATGGATATCCTTGATTCTGGCCTTTCGTTTGTGCAGTCCAAAGCCAATTGTATAATGGATGCTATGCAAATTTCACTTTTAGAATTGACCTGTTCTTCCTCAAGAAAAAGATTGGCATCCACAACTTCCATCATTGTCCCTGAAAATGCTTGTTTTATCCACTCCCTTAAGCCAAGATTTTCATTGAATATCTCTTCATCTGTTGGCCTTCTTTTTGCCAGAACCTCCATCAACATGATGCCATAGCTGTAAACATCACCACTAGTAGACACTATTCCCTCCGAGCCATATTCTTAAAAGAATGAAAATAAATAAAATAAATCATTACAATTATAACAATAATTCTGCACTAACAAAAACTTGCTGTTTATTTATTTCTAGAATTCGAAGGGCTTAATTTTAATAAGAGAAAATCAAAGAACGAAACTAGTATACCTGGTGCAATATAACCAAGAGTGCCTAATGTCTCGGTATGAGCCATGGACTTGCTTACAGCCAAAATTTTGGAGATGCCAAAATCACTAACATATGCCACCATTTCTTCATCCAAAAGAACGTTGTTGGCTGGCTTTAGGTCACAATGTACTATGGGGGTGTGATGACCGTGATGTAGGTATTCAACTGCCAAAGCCACATCATGCATTATGGTGACTCTTTGAAGAAGGTTCAAGTGGCGATCTTCTTTGTAAAACCAACTATCAAGACTTCCATTGGACATATATTGCAGAACAAAGGCTCTTATGTATTCACTAGAACAAGTAGTAATCACCGGGACAAGATTTTTGTACCGAACATTTCTCATCACTTCACATTCAGTATCAAACCTTTTGCATACTTCCTCGTTTTGCAAATCAAGAACCTTTATTGCCACCACAGTTCCACTAGACAATGTCCCTTTGTATACAGATCCAGAACCTCCCACGCCAATTATATTTGATCCATCAAAATTATTTGTTGCTCGTTGAATCTCGAGATAAGAAACCAATTGATAAGTCCTGATCTCTGGTACCTTTTCCACATCTTTAGCCAATTTGTCTTCTGTCGTTTCATTATCCAAATTGAAGCCAACAAGAATATTATAAAAGTATAGCACAAGCTTCTTAAACCTTGATTGTTGTCCAGAATTAGCGATTGTGCAAGCAGAAACCCCCAGTACTTGCATTCCACATAGACCTCTGTTCCCTAGGAAAGATTGTGAAGTGGAATTTGCAAACACACCACCACTGGGTATTTCACCTTCTAAATCATTAAATGAAACATTGAAACTTGCAAGGTGTGATAGGTTTTCCAATGACTTAGGAATACTACCAGACAAGGCATTTAAAGACAATTCCAGGAATACCAAGCTTATCAAGCTCGAAAAGGATAATAGAATTAAGCCCAAAAAGGAGTTGTTTAATAGGGAAAGATACTGCATGTTCTCGAGATCCCCTATTCTACTTGGTATCATGCCTGAAAAGTGGTTGCCAGAAATATCTATTGCTACAATGGCCTTCAGTTCTCCAATATCTGGTGGAACTTCTCCTTGTATGGAAGTTCGTGACATGTTTAGTGTGAGAAGACTACTCATTTTCCAAAAGGCTCAAAGGAAGCTTTGATAAAAAATTGTTAGACGCCAAATCAAGCTGTTGTAGCATGCTAAGATTTCCTATGCATTCTGGAATCACCCCAGATAGCTCATTTTCATGCAAATATAATACAACCAAATTAGATAAATCACATACTACATCTAGAATATGCTCTTGTAATTTATTGTTACTTAAATATAGCCCTTGGAGTTTTTTAAGCCTACCAACCTCATAAGGAATACTCCCAATTAAGTTGTTATCTTGAAAGTTTAGTTTCGTTAGTTCGCTCATGTTGCCTATACCTTTGGGGATGAGACCATTGATGTGTGCATCTGCTATATGAAATATTTCAATAGTAGATGAAAGATTCCCAATAGTACTGGGCAGAATGCCATTCAACAGATTGGAACCCACTGCTAGATATTGCAACATCCTACAGTCCACCAATGAATTTAAGAATTGTAGCTCATATTCACTTGGTTCATTGTTAAGTTGATTACCAAATAGGAATAATCCTCGCAGCTCACGACGATTCCCCAAATTTGTAGGAATAGTGCCAGTGAGAAGGTTCATTTCTAGCGCCAGTGTGTTAAGTTTGGAAGCATTTGTGATATACGGAGGAATTTCCCCTTCAAGCTGATTGTATGACAAGTAAATTCCTCTGAGGTTTGGAAGACGACGACCTGTAGTGTCTGGAATTCTTCCCGAGAGGTTGCTGAAACTGAAACCAATGAGTTCCAAAGAAGATATATTGAAAATAGCATCTGGAATTTGACCAATAAGATTATGATTTAGATCAAAGCCTAATTGCCTCAAATTGGATAGCTTCCCTAATTCTGGAGGAATTGGCCCCTGTAGGCTATTGTTTGCAGCATTAAGATTTTGCAGAGTGGAAATATTGCCCAATGATGCAGGAATAGTCCCACTTGTTGGATTATTACCAATATAGAACTCCTCGAGATTGGCTAAACAACCAATATTTCTGGGTATTTCTCCATTTATGTTGTTGAAAGATATGGACGAAATTTTCAGCTCGGCAAGTTGGCAAATGTTGGAAGGAATGCGACCAGAAATTTGATTGTAAGATACACCTAAAAACTCTAAATTTGACAAAATCTTCCCTTCATCAGGCAAGAGAGGACCCGAAAGGCTATTTCTTGCTAGAGATATGATAAGTAACGAGGAGATATTAAACAGTGCTGCAGGAATGGAACCTGTTAATTGATTATCATTCAAGGACAACACTGCAAGTTGGCTCAGATTACCAATCTCCTTTGGAATGTTGCCGTTAATTCCATTCCCAGACAAACTTAAGTTCATCAATTTTGTAGAATTTCCAATAGAAGGAGGAATTATACCTGTGAAGCTATTGTTAAAGAGATTTAAGACTCTGAGTTCTGGTACATACCATGGCCCCTTCCACATTTCACCACTGAGTTTATTTAAAGCCAATGATACTGTTTGAACTTTTTGGTGTTGAAATAGACTTGTTGGAATACTTCCTTGGAGTTGATTGTCTTGAATATCAATCACTCGCAAGCGAGGTAAGTGGCCAATGTCATCGGGTATGCGTCCATAGAAGAAGTTGTTCCTAAGATTGAGCTCTCCGAGAAACGACAAATTGGCCAATGATGGGGAAATTGTTCCTTGAAGTTGCAAATTAGGAAGAGTCAAGGCCACAACTCTTTGCCTTTTTGAACTGCAAGTGACACCAAACCAAGAGCAAAAAGAAGTATTCTTCGTCCAGTTCTTGGCCAAAAAAGAACTGGGACTTGTAACAAGTTTCTGGAAAGCTAGTAGAGCTTGTTGGTCTGTTTCATTTGAGGAAGCAGCCGATATAAAAACGGAGTAATATTGAAATAGAAAGAGAAGAATCAATAAGAAAATATGCTTCTCCATGCAGTTACTATGCACTTGTAAACAGACTGCTTTAAAGGGATTTGGAAACTTGATTTGTGTAGTTGCTCAAGTTACTCCATTTATATATGCTCTTTCATATGGTTTAAGACTTCAGAACTAAGTGAATAGGAGTTTATTGTTTTCTAGTGAAGCTTAGATATCACCAATTTTTTCCTGACCACAACCTAAACAATAGCATGCATTATCTATTGCAGAATCATAATAAACCAGCAGATAAAAAGAAAAATCAAATTTCATTTTTGAAACAACAACAAACCCGGTGCAATCCCACAAGTGGGGTCTGGAGAGGGTAGTGTGTACGCAGACCTTTGGCTCACGGAAAAAGAAAACCATAGCACCAAGAGGTAACAACAACAAGATAGTAAAAAATCGAAACTAAAAGAACAACAGGTAAAAAAACGACTAACACTATTACTCTCGACTACCTACTAGCAATTTTTGAAAAAATAAAAAGAAATACTATACTAGGTTTCTCTCTCACTTCTTCTTGGTGGATTTTCGCCCTCTCCTCAATTAAATGTATACTGATTAGATAAGTGGATGTAAAAATAATACTCCTACTAATTTCAAACCATATTGCTTTTAACTGAAATTAATTTGAAAATTTCTTTAAGAAGCTTTTCTGAATCAAATTCAATTCCATGACATAGTAATCACGTTGAGGGTGTGGAGGTCGAGTATTAGGGTAGAAGGTTAGTACATAATTGAGAGTTTCCCCCTTTCTTACCACTAGTACTAGTAGCACACACGTACTTTCCTATCTCCTCCTCCTCCTCCTCCTCCTCTGACTCCTCTGAGCCGAGGGTCTATTGGAAACAAACTCCCTAACTTTACTAGATTACTCTCCCCAAACCCCACATGTGGGAATATACTGGGTTTGTTGTTGTTATTACCATAGCAATCACGGAAAATTCTCAACTTCTAGACTTGACAGATTCCACAAGTATCTTGGCATTAACTTCACAGAACAATCTTCACAGCAAATGCAAGAATTCAAACATATGTGTGGCTATATAAAAGCTTCTTTTTTCAACAGATAATGTCACAGAAATTGGAATGAGAGAATGTTTAATATATCGAGAAAACATAATTACTTTCTTCTAAATAATTTTGTTCTCTTCTGTTTTAAATTAGCTTTCGTGAAATATTCAGGAAATACTTATCCAAATCCCCCCCCCCCCCCTTTATGTGGTGTATTATTACACATTATTGCAATGTAATCTCATTGAGGAATACACAGGCCAACTTTAAAAAGACAAGAACAAAAGAAGACAAGTGAATTGCGGAAGCTCAAGGGCAATAAAGATGAGGAAATTGATTGGCATACAAATCAAATTAAAGCACGAGGATTACGGTCCACTTGCCTTGATAGTTTGACACAACTTGCAATTTTTTCCATAAATTAAAGAAGAAAAGTCAATAGAGGATCCGAACTCTATCCTTCTGCGCCACTCTTCGAGCTACAAACAACGCCGATGCTTTTCCGCCCATCGCTCTCTCTCTCTCTCTCTCTCAATCTCTGAGCTGAGTTCTCCATTCTCTGTTCTCAGCTGCTCATCCCTTGCGATTTGTAAAATTTATATGCTTAGTACACATATAAGTAGCATTTATCAATTGCGACTTATAACTTGTATTTCAATTGCGATTTAACGTTCGCCTTTGCCAATTACGTTATAGGTCGCATTTAATTATTACAATTTATAAGTCTCATTTAAGTCGCATTATCAATTTATAAGTCGTATATCCAATAATGATTTATGAGCCATATTTACTCAAAAGTGATATATTAGTCACATTCCTCAAATGTGTTTTAGAAATCGCATTCCACAAACGATTATAAGTTGACATTTTTTATTAGTAATGCATTTTATAACTTGCATTTATAAATTGCGCTTAAGCCAACATCATCTTCCAAACCGTCCATTATCTCAGTTAACTAGAGCGCACGTATATCTCAAAAACATTACATACTAGTGGAATTTTTTTCGAGGAAAAAACTCCAAAAAATGTACATGATTTTGACTTTTGAGTTTCAATAGTTAACCTAAATAATATAGAGAATATATTGTCAAAGCATGGAATGCTAATATGGAGTTCACCAGGAAAGAGATGCAAACAATTCTTATATGGGCCAAGTTGCCGAGACTTGATTTTAAATATTGAATCCCCAAGGGGCTTAGTAAAATTGGGAGCTTGATTGGAAAACCATTGATGGTGGACAAACAAACGGAGAAGAAGTTGCGATTGAACTTTGCTTGCTTATTAGTTGAAGTGAATATTGATACACCACTTCCAGAGAAAATTGCATTTCGTAATGAAAGGGGATGTTTGGTGAAACAACGGGTACACTATGACTGACAACCTATACTTTATAAATGCTGCAAAAAAATATGGGCACAAGGAGGAGGAATGCATGAAGAAGGAACCACAACCTGGGAATGCAGCAGGAGGAAACAATGACAGAAGGAAAGGGTAAAGAAAAGGTGAAGGAAAAAGGTATCAAAGAAGCTCATATAACCAAAAAGGTCCAACCATACAAAGAAAACACCAAGCCAAATGAGGTGCAAGCAACCAAAACCAAAATACTTGGGCAGGGGCAGAAGACATCACAACAACTAGGTTGGGTAACTCCTTTGGACAATCAAAAACAAAGTTCTAGGCAAGTGCAACAAGTGCAAATGAGGACTCCATTTCAAGTACTTACTAAAGATGGAGAAGATGGACATCATCAGGATAAGCATGCTAGGAATGAAGGGGATACTCAAATACCCCTTTCAGGGAATGGATAAGATGTTAAGCTGGAATATTTAGGGGCCTTAATGGCCCTAATAAGCAAAAGGATGTAAATATCCTTTGCAATACAAAGAAAATAGGCTTACTTGGTCTACTTGAAATCAAGGTTAAAGTAAATAAAGTTGAAGCAATAGTTAATAAAAAATTTCCTGGATGGCAGAATTTTGGTGGTATGGAGACCTGACTATTTCAAGGTGGATCGGGTGATTAGTAATGCTCAAGCCATAACATACAGAGTACGGTAGGACACATTGAAGCTATGTTATATGGTAATAATAGTGTATGCTTATAACACTAAAGAGGAAAGGAGAGGGTTATAGAACTACTTTGAAGCTGCCAAGCAAGGAATTAATGAACCATGGATAATAATGGGAGATTTCAACTCAATTCTAAATATGAATGATAGGGCTGGGGGGAATCAAGTGTCAGTATATGAAGTGGTGGAGATCCAACAATGTGTGGATGCTTGCGGGGTATTAGAGCTACCACCAAAAGGGAGTAAATATACATGGAGTGATAGTCATGGTAATAGCAGGGTATATTCTGAAATTGATTGGATGTTTGTGAATGATAGGTGGTTGCATCAAATGCCTGACTTTGTAGTTGTTCATCTCCTATAGGGGATCAGCGATCACTGCCCAGTGAAGATTGAGCAAATCAGAAATGAGAGACATGCTAGTAGACCTTTCAAGTATTGTAATGCATGGGCAAACCATCCTGATTTCATACCAAGAGTAGAAGTAATCTGGCAAGAACATTTTGAAGGATGTATCATGTTACATGTGGTGAAGAAATTGAAGCTACTCAAGCAAAGTTTGAAGGAGTTGAATAGACAACATTTCATAAACATTTTAACTGAAGTTGCAGAGGACAAAGAGGCCTTAGTTTCAGCACAACTAGCATTGCAGAACAATCCAATTGATCAAGAACTGCAAGAGCATAAGAGAAGCATGTTTCAAAGATATAAGAAATCATCATATCTAGTTGAGATGTTTCTACAGCAAATAAGCAAAGTCAACTGGATCAAACTGGGAGATGACAACACAAAGTATTTCTAGCTTGTCATTAAGCATAGGAAACTTCAGCAGACAATTGTTCAGTTGACAGATTAGGTGAATAGAATGCAAACAGAACCTGAACTATTGCCAACATCTTTGTGAGATTCTACAAAAAGCTATTAGGGAAGAAGGAGAAGAATAAAACTAGGGCTTTCACGAGCTTTCTGAGAAATGGGTATACCTTATCAGTGGATCACCAACTAGAACTGATAAAATAGTGTACAAGGAAGGAAGTTAAGCAGGCTATGTTCAGTATAAACATAAACAAAAGCCCAGGTCCAGATGGCTATGGTATTGACTTCTTCAAGAAAGTACGGAATATAATAGGGGAGGGTGTGACTAATGCAATATTACAAGTTTTTAGAATAGGGAAATTGCTGAAACAGATAAACTCTATTATGATAACTTTGATACCCAAGGTAGCAGAACCACAATTGGCAAGCCAGTCCAGGCCCATCTCTTGTTATAATGTTCTGTATAAATGCATCTCTAAGATGATATGCCAGAGATTGAGAAAAGCTCTAACTCACGTAATCTCTAACAACCATGCTGCTTTTGTAGAAGGAAGATCATTGGTCCATAATATTCTGATATGTTATGATCTCATGAGGCAGTATAATAGGCAAACTTCACCAAGGTGCCTAATGAAGATAAATTTAAAGAAAGCATATGATATGATCAGTTTGGATTTCATACATGAAGCGCTGAAGGGATATGGTTTTCCTGAATCCTTTACTAACTTGATTATGGAATGCATCACCTCAACAAAGTTCACTCTGAAAGTAAATGGAGAGGGATATGAGTATTTTGAGGGGAGGTGAGGATTAAGACAAGGAGATCCCATATCTCCATTATTATTTGTTCTTGTAATGGAGTATCTATCAAGAATGTTGAAGAAGATGAGTACAATGTTTAAGTACCACCCTATGTGCAAAACACTAAAACTCACACACCTAATCTTTGCAGATTATCTTATAATTTTTTGTAAAGGAGACAAAACATCAATACAAAGAGTAATGGAAGCATTAGAACATTTTAGTAGTGTGACAGGGCTGGAAGCTAACACTGAGAAATCAAATATTTTTTTGGTCGGGGTGACTGATGAGGTGAATGAGGAAATATTGATCC